GGGACAGTGTTGTGTGATGCGGCCGGGAGTCCTGGAAGGAAGGAAGGAAGGAAATGTCCCCTGGCATTTGTGTGGGCCACCGGGGCCACCACACAAAGTACCACACCCTGGGGGCCTTAAGCCAAGAGAAACGTATGGACGTGTCCCCTCGCAATCCCAGAAGCTCAGAATCGAGGTACCACAGGGCTGTGCTCCCTCTAAAAGCTGGAGGAGAGGGTCCTTCCTGCCTCTCCCGCCTTCTAGTGGCCCGTCTCTGTCCCCGTCACCTCCTCTTCCTACGAGGACAGTGGCCACCCTAGTGACCTCCTGTTCACGAACCCCACCTGCAAAGACTCCGTTTCCACATGAGGTCACTCACAGGTGGCAGGTTACTCCAACACCTCTTTTGGGCAGACACAATTCACCCCATGACAGGACTGCTCTGAAATAATCGGGACATCTGTTGAGCAATTAGTAGGGGGTAGTCACTGAGGTGAGTGGGCGTCACCTCACTGACCCCTCACAGCCAGCCTTAGAGGAGGGCCCTTCACGGTGGGCTCCCAGGGTGCAGGGCGGGGCGGGAATTCACACTCAGGCTGTTGAGATCCTCCCCGGCGTGGGACCACGAGGAACTCAGCTGACCTGATTCACAGTGAAACCTGAGGATAACTGAAAACAGCCATTGGAAGCCCCTGGAAGGGGTCCTAGGACAACATCAAATGAAACGTCCATTCAAGAAAATCTATGAAAATGTGTTAGAAATAGACAGTCTGGTATTTGAACCAAAACTCCCCCTGCCCCAGGCCTTCCCCAGCCCCCCACTCAGCGGGGAGGGGGCTCCACCCCAGAGGCTGCAGCCACGAACTAGGGGCTCCCTGCCCCCAGTGGGCTGAGTCCCAGGGGGCGCAGTTGAGAAAAGGGGCACCTTCTCCGCCCAGCCCCACCTCACGCAGGGGAGTGGAGGCACCTTGAGAACACTGGGAGCCCCGTCACCCTTGCCCGGGCTTCAGAGGGTGGTCCCGTGCCAGGAGTGGCAGCAGAGAGGACCTCAGACTGCTGCCCCGCCCCTGCAGAGCCTCAGCTGAGAATGGGGGTCACCAAGGACGGGCTTGCCACTGCCCCACCCCCAGGTCCACAGTCCTGGCACAGAGGTGTCGCCTGGGGGGCGGGGCGGGGGGAGCAGACTGTAAAACAGATGCCCCCATCAATTCCCAGAGGAACTGACTTCATTTGCAACAGAAAGTGGAGAAGTTCAAACCCAAGGGTATCTCAAGAGCAGCGGAGGTTGCACTGAAGGAAAGGGAGGGGATGCAGGGACTGAGTGAAGAAGACACGGCCTGGGCTGTGGGCTGGCCAGCGCGCAGGGGAGGACTGACGCAGGTCAGCCAGAGGAGCCGTCCTGGGGTCAGAACGCACATCAGCACTGACCTCAGAAATGACGGTTCCACCCAAAGTCAGGTAAAGAAAGACCGGCCAGCACCACTGCCCCCTCCCGCGAGGAGCCTGAGCACCAAGCTGTGTCCCCTGAGGAACAGGAGCAGAGGCTGAACACTCGGAGGGGGAGTATATGGCACTAAAATAATCCAGCCCCTTACTGAACAAATAAATAAGCAAATATTAACAAGAAGCCCCAGGTGGGGAGGGTACCAGGACCCACATTTGCTACAACACATCATCTAAAATGTCCGGTCTCCAACAAAAAATTACAAGGCATGCCAAGAAGCAGGAGAGCATGATCCAAACAGAAAAAAAAAATCAGGCAATAGAAGCTGCCTGTGCAAATGAACAGATGCTGGCTTTAACAGAAAAAGGCTGCAACAAGTGTGCTCACAGAACTAAAGGAAAGCTTGACTGGAGAAGCAATGGGATGTGCGACAACAGCATCCCATCAACTGAGACCGTCAGTGAAGAGACGGAAACCATAAAAGAGAACCAAATGGAAACTCTGGAGTCAAAGGTACAACAACTGATGGAAAAGACTCACCAGAGGGTCTTCAGACTCACCTGAACAGCAGGTCTGACCTGGCGGAAGAAAGAGCTAGTGGACTTGAAGACAGATCGGCGGAGATGGTGGAAGCTGAGGACAGAGAAAACAGATGAGGACCCGGGGGACAGCGTCCAGCCCAGGGCGCCAGCCCACGGATGGGGACCGCCAGAGGGAAGCGGGAGCGAGGAAGGAAAAGGAAAAGTATCCAGAGATATAACGGCCAGAAACGTCACAAATTTACGGAAAAACCATCACCTACCTTCCCAGGAAGCTTGATTGATGATAAATGCGGAAAGACCCGCCAACTGACACGTCACAGTGAAAACACTGAAAACAAAGACAAGGGGAAAATCTTGAAAGTAACTGAGAGGAAGCTGATGTGTTGCTCACAGGGGACCCCACTGTGACGGACCCCCTAAGGCAGAGGCAGTGCAGGCCAGGAGGCAGCAGGAGATATACCCAAAGTGCTCAAAGGAAAAAAAACTGTCAACCAGGAATCCTATACTCAGCAAAGCTATCTTTCAAAAGAAAGAAAGAAGGAAAGAAAATGGTGAAATGCCGATTTTCCAAGATAAACAAAAACTGAGAATTTGCTGCTGGTAGGCCCACCTTAAAAAGATAAAGGAATTCTTCAGGCTGAAAGCAAGTGGCCCTGGACAGAAACTGAATCCACATGAAGAAACAGAGTGCTGGTAAAGGTGACTATGTCATTTTATAAGGCAATACAAATGTACCTTTTCTTCTTTCTTCTCATAACTGATTTAAAAGGCAATTGTATAAAATAATATAGATCTAATGCACTGTAGGGCCTGTAATTAGTGGAAATGAAATATACGTGCAATATTTGTGCCAATAACAGTATAAAGGAAGTGGGTGGAGCAGAGCTGGACGGGACTGAGGAAATGACTCCAGGTGGCAAAGGGGTCATGACTCCAGTGTGCCGCTGGGCTTGTAGTGTTACTAACTGTCGTTTCTCTAACATAAGACCGCTCGAAGGGGAAAGGGGATAAACCCACGTGGGACCGATGTTCATACGTATCACTGGAATTAAGCCAGTGTAAATCTGAAGCTGATTCTGATGTTAAAACGTATGTGATAAACCCTGGGACAACTACTAAGGAAATAGCAACAACAACAACGAAAAGTAAAAAGTCATTAAAGGGTTCATAACGCTGCTTTAGGAAATACTCACTCAGCATGAAAGAAAGCAATAAAGGAGGAACAGAGGAATAAAACAGACATGGGAAAACAGAAAACAAACAGTGACATGGGAGCAACAGAGCCAACCATGTCAACAATGACACTGCGTGTGGACGCACTTACCAAGCTGACCAAAAGGCAGGGACTGTCAGCCTGGACAGAGAGCAGGCTACAGGAAGCACACTTGAGATTCAAAGTACAAACGGACTACAAGGGTGGAAAACATTATGCAAAGAACAAGTACTGGGAGCTGGAATTGCTGTGCTAATGTCAGACAAAACAGATTTTAACACAGAACGTGCTATCAAAGATGAAGAGGGATATCTAATCATGATAACAGAGTCAGTCCTCCCGGAGGACACAGCAGTCACAAACATACGTGCGCCCCACAACAGAGCCCCAAGTACACGAAGCACAAGCTGATGGAAGGAAGGGAAAAACAGACGGCTCCACAGCCGTAGAGGGAGCCGCCAGCACTGCACTTTGAATAATGGATGTACCAACCAGACAGGAGACCAACAAGAAACCAGAAGACTGGAGCCCCAGCCAGGCCTCCTGGACATCCATGGGGCACGCCGCCCAACAGCAGCCGAACAGACCTTCTTCTCAAGGTCACATGGAACGTTCTCCAGAGAGAATATCCTAGGCTGTGTTCCAGGCTATAAAGCAAATGCGAGCTGTCCAAGGCCACCACACGAGCAGGCAGTGGGAAGGGGCTGTGGCGGTGGGCAACGACCTCTCAGAGGGGTAAGGAGGACCCAGGCAGAGGGGGGACCGACTCAGGTGGGTAGCAGTAACGGGTGGGTGGTGCTCCGGGGGAGGGGAAGGACGTCCGTTGCCGTGCTGAGTATTGGGCCTGGATCCTGACGCCCTGGCCATGTGCTTAGGGGAGGGAAGTTGGTTGGTTGGTTGATTGATTGATTGATTAACAATTACAGTTCTAGACCTGGTGGTGGAGCTTGGAATGGGTGGTCAGGTGAGTTTAGGCAGGAAGAGAAGGCCTCTGCAATGTTCCAGGTAAGAGGGAGTGGGTGACAGAGCTTTCACAGATAAAAGCCAAACGGCTAAATGCGTGGACCACTAAGGACACGCCAGACTGAAAAGGAAAGCCTGAAGGTGCCGGCACAGGTGTACAGCTCCTCCCTCAACTCCAGCCACAGCCAGGAGATTTACTTGCACTGACTTTTTATAAAACCTCAGCTAAGTTTACTTCAAAGTAAATAACTTGTCCCCAAGTCTGATTTCTTAATGCCAATGTCCACACTCTGGCTAAATGCCAGTGTCCCCAGGCCTACCCCAGCACCTCTGTTCAGCCTGTGTGCTTCCTGCCCGCCGGTCACGAGGCGCCGCAGGAAGGACGCACACCTGTGCTTCAGTGGAGTCCGATGTGCAAAGTGCTTGTCAGTGGGAAAGTGTAAGTCGGCCTCCGCGTGGCTTGGCTGTGGGTCCGGCAAGAACACAGCATTTACATTCACCCCGCAGATGTCTGAGGCATTTCCATGAGCAAGAAATGGCACCTGGGGCGCGGCTGAGTAACAGGAAGAAAGGGTGGGCTGGGGAGCCGCACCTGCTGAGGACAGCCTGTGGCCCGAGTCTGCAGAAGGCGCCACAGGAGATGACTGGAAGCCCCAGGCCAGGCGGGCCAAGCCGGTCGCCCGCAGAGCGCCTAGGCCCGGGGACAGAGCGCCCGCCTCAGGGCAGCTCCAGCCGGGGCGAGCTTCCCAGGTCCTGCTGACCCGGCCCGGCCCGCCCACGGCTCAGAGGACCGCGTCGCCATAGCAGTTGTGCTTAAACACGAGAACACAGCCACACGACTGCCGAGTCTGGAGAAAATAATTGGGCAGGGCGGATGGATTCAAGTGTGCTCCAGGGGAAAGGACCCGGCATCCAAAGGGACTTTGAAAATGGTAAGCTGCTTTGGGTGTATTTGCCCCAATAATCCACAGAAACAACAGTAATCTAAAAATAGTCTTGTTTTCTGTCCTAAGCTCCTTTTAACTTCGTTAGTCATCACCAATTCTTAAAATAAAATCCGTGTAACGTCTCTCCTAGTAGCAGCTATAAACACACCTCGAAAGGAGGCCGGAGGACCCAGAGAGAAGGAA